GACATGTGAGTGGAAAGCAGGTTGGGCAACAGAGATGAGGAAGCATCTTCCTTGTCCCCACTGAGCAGACACCCAGGGATGGGGACAACAATGGGGCATTTCCCCTGGGGTGGCCTCTTTGTCCTGCTGGACAGGTTAGTTCCCTCAAGAAACCACATGAAATAGAGAAAATGGAGCATGTCAGGCATTCCAAATTCCAGTTCCAGGACAACGTGTTTTGGCATCCGGGTTCTACCCTGTGAGATATTTGGCTTTCTGAACATCTGATTCCTCATCTGTAAAAAGGGCATAAAATCTATCTCATGAAGCTATTGGTTTCAATCTGATGACACAATGGGTACTTAGTGAATGAGAATTTACTTCAAATTATCAGTGCTTTCACAGAACAAACTTGTTTCTTTCATTCTTTCTTTAATTATCAGGAGAGAGTGTTTGAAAGAGAAAGAATGCACCCTCCAATGGAGCACAATCACCCTGCAATCCCTTCTCCTCCATTTCTCCATCCTACTGGGATTTGGGGTATGTACACACACACACATGCCCAGCATGTGTGCTGCTGGGGCTGGGACTTGAACCATGTGGTCTGCCATGTAGAACCTGGTTCCCTTAGCTACTAGGCCATGGGGCTAGCCCCAAACTCTCTTGTCTTAGAGGCCTAGAGAATACGCCCATTCTCTTTTATGTTGTTAATGCTCTCTCTGGTTTACCTCAGAATCTGCCTCTTTGAAAAAGCATATTAAACTGTCTTGGTATTGGCCAACATGTATTGAAGCCTTTCCAATTTCAAGACCCGATTCCAAACACCTTACAGGTACTCCTTTTGACAACAGTATCTAGTATATAGGATGTAAAATCTCATTTTACGCATGATGAAACTGAGACAGAGAGAGGTAAAGTAATTTGCATAGTTCCCAGGGCTCGTCAATAGAGGAGCAAGTAACCATTAAAATGATTAGGCTGCTGGGAAAGTCATGACGTGTTTTTCTATGCAAAAATGTGTCATGACTTTCCTGACAACCCAATCGTAACTGCTGAAGTTACTACTAGTTAATATAGAAGAGAACTAATGCTCATGGTAGGACCATATCATTAAACTCAGTGATTCTTAATTGAGAGAGATTTTGTCCCCCAGAGGACATCCTGGGGGATGTCTGGGGACATTTTTTCGTTGTCATAGTTATGGGGTGGATGCTATAGATATACAGTAGATAAGAGCCACGGGCACTGCTAAACAACCTAATCACACAGGACAACCTCCCTCTTCCTAACAAATTATTTGACACGAACCTGCAGCACTGCTGAGGTTGAGAAACCCTGACACACGCAGGGCTCCATTAGCTATTTAGAACCTCAACACTTTAGAGTTCATTTGATAATTCAGATGAAGCCACAGAACCGCTCAGATTCTAAAACAGATCACTTGGAGTTCAGGAAGTGAATCTCCTACCTTTCAAGCAATAACCTTGAGACAACTTCCTAAGGCACATTCTTCTTGCTATTCAGGTAAATCTCTTAAAAATACCAAGAGCAACGAAGTGGCTAAGTAAGAAGGAATACAGAAATATGCCACATGACAGAGGAGTCAAAAAGAGAGCCAACAGCCTGCTGGAATGTGGAATGGGGAAAATACTAGAAACAGGTATAAACTCTTTTTTCTTTTTCTTTTTTTTAAAAGGTTAGTTCATTTATTAACTCATAAACAATTACTTGTCTTCTGGTTTGGTGAAACAGTGTCAGACATTTGCCACAATAATGCCTGTCCAAATGGCTGTCCATAAAATCTCCAGCACCATATTCTGAAGTGCACTCCCGGAGAAGGTGACTCATTTTGCCATTTTCATCCACCTTATAGTATTTCGGGACTGCCGGTTTAACCTTCTTTCTCTTATGCTTATTCTTCTTGGGAGTGGTATAAGACTTCCTTCTTTTCTTAGCACCACCAGAAGTCTCAACACAAGACAAAGCGTGGACTCCTTTTGGATGTTGTAGTCAGACAAGGTATGCCCATCTTCCAACTGCTTACCAGCAAAAATCAGCCTTTGCTGATCAGGAGGAATTCCTTCCTTATCCTCGATTTTGGCTTTTACATTTTCTATTTTATCCGACGGTTCACCCGCGAGGGCGATGGTCTTCCCTGTAAGGGTTTTTATGAAAATCGGAATCTCGGTGGCAGCCCCACCGCAGATGGCGGATCGGAAAGGACTCTTTGTCTTTCCCCTTTCTATAGGGGGCGTGCACTCACCGGAGAGACAGAGAGTCAGAAAGTGAGAAATCACCATTGACCATTCCGCAATTCCTTCTCCTCCATTCTCCTCTTGAGATTTTGGGCACCCATGCATGTGCAGCCAGTGTGAGTGTTTTGTTTTTTTTTTTGGAAGAGGTTTTTTGTTATAGGGCACGTGCACTCACCAGACAGACAGCGACAGAGAAACAGAAAGCAAGAAATCACCCCCCCTAGGGAGGATGGCCACAACGCAATCTCTTCTCCTCCATTCTGCTCTTGGGATCTTGGGCACGCACGTACGCACACGTGCCTGGGTCCGGGATGCAAACGACGGTCGACTATATGGGAGTCCAGCAACATAGCCATTACGCTATCTGCTGGTCCCCCCAGTGTGAGTTTTAAGCCTTCGGGTCCAGGACTCAAACTGTAGTCGACTACCTGGAAGTCCAGGGAGGTAACCACTATGCCATCTAGTGGTCCCAGAAACACATACACTTTTAGCAGCCTTAGCTATACAGATCCCTGGAAGCAGCAGCCACGTGAATGGAGGCAGCTCCTGGATGGTGGGGAGGGGTCGTGTGGGCACAGAGATGACCATATGCCAGATGAAAGGCAGACTACCAATGGCCTCTGCTTCCTCTTAAATTATTGAGCTCCTGGGTTTTTTTTTTTTAAAGGGACTCAAGACAGTTGACGATGACAATAAATAAGGAAAAGTTAGAGATGGTTTACCTGGTAACGCTTTCTTCGCAAACTGCTAAATAACCAAAAGAGACAGGTTACTAGAAATAGAAACAGGAAGCGGGAAGCTCTCCTGAGTATTTTTGCTTTATTCAACCTAATAAACATTTTATGTATATAAAAGACAGACAATGCATAGAATGAAAATAAGTGCTTGAGTTTTTTTATATAAAAGAGTATATAGCATTCACATTCCTATTTTTAATACATGAGTATAGCTGAAGTGTCCATAAAAGAATAAAACTTTCCCTTTAGGTATAGTAGAAAAAAAAAGTCAGTATTTTTAGGAACTATAGAATGTTATTCCTTGGTCTTTTTCTTGAAAAAGAAATATATATATATATATATAAAGCCCACAGTATCATCTGACACTACATTCCAGTTTATGGTGATAATGATTCAGAAGTGATAATGCTCTTTTGAAATCTTGGAAGATTCCATTAATGGACCAGTATTCTAGAAATTCACCACTAGAGGTCAATGAGCAACAGCTATTGGGATGGCATGAGCAAGTCCTAAGGAGCAAGTGGAATTTCTGGGTGTTTCTATGGTACTAGAGCTGAGCTGATTTTGATTCTCTCTGCTCGCTGAGCAGGGTGCCTAGAGGTTCCACATAATCTCAAAGCGCAGCCTTATTCTAACACCTCAATAAAGTAAGACCTTCCCAAATGCAAACAGGGCTGACTTGCCCATTGCCAGTCCCTCTCTACGATTCCTATTTGGCTGAAAATAAGGAGCTTCAAGCATCTTTTAGAAAGAGCTTACTTTTAGTATTAACCCCTTGTTTGTGGATGAATAAGTTTCCTGTGGAATTAAAGCTCCTGCTTTGTTCTTGACCCTGTGGACACAGATCTCCTAATTGCAAATGGGATTCTCGAATCCCACATTCAAGTGCTCACTTGCAGTTCCTGCAAAGATTGGGAAGGCTGATGGACAGACCGGTAACCATGCCGAAAGCTTCTTGGTGTAAAGTGCTCTCCTCCCTAATGCAGAGAGAACATTTTAAATATAGAAGCCAGAGAGACATGGGCTAACCAGGACCACATATAGGAAGTTCCCTTTAGTCCAACAAAAGGTCAACTTCAAAACGTAACACCAACTAAGAGAGTCAACATACCATTACGTGGCCAGAGTGACTTCTTGAAAGCACATTTCTTACAAGAAACCTTGGTTACAGGCAGATTGAATTCCCAGACTGAGGTGGGGGTGGGCAGTATAAGACAAATGTTTAAAGAGAGAGATAAAGCAGCTTTGTGGATGTATTCACACCTTTGTTTTGTGAATAATGTGGACTGAAGGGAACTGGAAACACTCCCCTCACCTGGCGATCCAGATTTTTCTGCAGAATCTCCATGTATTTAAAAAAGTGGCCCAAATTTTAAAAACGCTATGCTGGCCAAACGAACCATATGTTCAGAGTGCCTGAGGACATGGTCCTACAGAGGCAATATGGTGTAGTTCAATTCCTTCCCATGAGGCCAAAACGTGCTTGAGCATGCAGGAGCCCAGAAAGATGGAGCCCACTGGTGTTTGCGTAGGCAGCTAGACTCAAGCCTCGTGTGATGACAGATTAAAGACGATTAACCCGAAGGGATGGGGGGGGGCGTTTGCTTCCTTTTAGGAAAGTTTGAAGGCTGGGAGAGGAGAACAGTAGTACAAGTATGGGAGGGAATGAAAAAGAAGGAACAATATCTTTTTGGTAGATGGTGTGGCAGTGTTGAGGATTGGAAAAATGGTCCTGATTTTCCTACAGCCAGTGAAGGTATAAAATGGGGGCCAGGAGATGGTGTAATGGTTACATCTAGACTCCCACATGGTTGACTGTGGTTAGAGTCCCTGACTTGGAGGCTTAAAAGATGCTGGGGGGTGTGTGCATGCATGCCCAAAATCCCAAGAGGAGAATGGAGAAGAAGGGATGGCGGCATGACCATTCTCCTTGTTGGGGTTGATTTCTTGCTTTCTATCTGTCTCTGTCTCTCCAGCGAGTGCATGCACCCTAGAGCAAAAATAGGTATAATTTTTTTTTTTTTTTTTAAAAAAAAGAATAGGACTCAAAACTTTAAGCTATTAGAGATGGTGCAGACCTTCTGGACTAGGCTGAGGAAGATGGTTAACAAATCAGATGTGGGGTTTGGAGCTCAAGTGCGAAGTCCAGGAGAAACAATAGCATGTAGGAAGCCCAGAAACAGTGGTCCCTACACAATATGATTGTACTGAGCTCTGAGCTCCATGGCCAGAAGAGAGCCCCCCTACAGGGAGTTATTCTTTTGCAAAAGTGAATGCAATATGATGCTAGGAGGCTCTGGGACATAAAGCCTCTCTCCTGATGCAAAGTCCCCCTGTCATACAGGCAGAGAACCATTGCATGTGTGAGCGTCAAGTGCTAGCGCTGTCATGGATCCTTTCCTTCTCTGCTCGGTCTGGAGCTCTCCAAAACAACCAGCTTCCCGGGGAATATTTGATCTTCCTTGTCTCTTTTCAGAGTATGGCTATATATATATAGATAAAGACATATATAGATATATATAAAACATAGCGATTCCATACTTATATACAGGCATTAATAAAGTGCACGTTATTGGCTATTGTAAAATCAATCTCATTTCCTGAGGAAGTGCTAACACAGCTTATCCTATGACAAGGTCAAAGGCATAGAATGCTTTATGTCACCCACTTCCCTGCTGCTGTCGTTCCTGCTCATCCTGACAGCTTACAGGGAGAGGGGTGACCCCCTTGGTTTTCCAGGAAGCATCAGTTTAGCGGCAGCTTCCTGCTGCCTCTGTTCTTTGGTGAGCGGGGAGGCCTCTTTGGCCTTGGCCCAACCTGCCCCGGAAGAGCTATTTGGTAGTGTTCAGGGAGCTGTCTTCGGGAATCTTCTCCTCGGAGCAGCTCCTACCCGAGAGTCTGTCCAGGTGCTCCAGCTCACTGAAGCGTTCCGCCACACACTGAGCCGTGAGTCGTGCCTCTGGGTCATGGTCCCAGCACTCGGTCAGCGTCTCACACACCATCTGGATGCCCTGGAGTGGGAGAGAGGTCAAAGGGCACCATGAGTTGGCAGGCTCCATGGAGGGCAAGCAAGGTGGCCTGCTGATGTCATTCTTGCAGGGCAGGCTGGGTCTAAAAGAGCTTGTGCATTTAACATGTTCTGAGTGCCCACTGTCTGTGTCAGACATCTGCACGTGAAATGAGGTGACAGCTGCCCTAGACTGTCATACCTATTCCCTCTAGTGCTATTTGATCAGGACAGGTCATGACAGCACGATGACCCTCTGCGAGGCCTCTAGAGGACGGCAGTATCTTCAACACTTGAGTAAGCCCCACAAAGTGGCACCTAAAACCATTTTCACACTGTTCTATTTTATTCGCAGCAGTGTTCGGTTCACAGCAAAATTTAGTGGGAAGTGTGGAGAACTTCCACATAACCCCTCTCCGTACAAACACCGCCTTCCCCACCACCAATATCTTGCACCTATGTGGACACGTTATACTTAATGAACTAACATTGACACATCTTCATCAACCAACATGCCTGGTGTATGTCAGGGTTTCCCTCTCAGTGTATATTCCACAGGTTTTTGACACATGTAGAATGGTATGTATTTACCATTACGATAGCATCTGGAATAGCTTCTCTGCCTTAAAAATTCTCTATGTTCCTTTTCTTTTTTTTTTTTAAAGAATTATTTATTTAATTTTATTTATTCATTCATTTGTATTTTTTAATTTGACCAGAAAGACACAGAGAGAGAGAGAATGAGAGAGGGAAAGTGAGAAAGCAAGCCACCAAGTCCAAGATTCGAACCATGGTCGGTCATGTGTGAGTACAGCGCCTTTATCTACCACACCACCTGCTGGCCCCCTATGTTCCCTTTCTTCATCCCTCCTTTCCTACTCCTGGGCCCCTGGTGACCACTGGTCTTTTACTGTCTCTGTAGTTTTGGCTTTTTCAGCGATTCATATAGCAGGTCATATATACCTATTTTAATAGGGTTGTCTACCCCTCAGCATGGTATACAGGCATTAGCCTGGTTTCCTTTTGTCAGGTTCACACATTTGACCAAGTAATTCTGTAACAGCTTCCAAGAACTGCCAAAGATGACCTCTGTGACATCCCAGTGACCTGAGGCTGGACCCTGTGAAACAGAAGCTGTCTCTGGAGGGCAGACATGCTGGACTCTAGGCTGTCGTACAGGTTCACCCTAATTCCATCAAGACCCCACTCAAGAAACTACCCAGGAAGAGGGCAAGAGTTTTCTCTCACCAGCTTAATTTTCAGTTTGTGTTGTGAGTTATCTTGTTCCCATTGGAAACCCTCTTTGGAAATAAGGCAGGTGGGGATGAACTAGTGTGACAGGTGAAACAGAATGTGCTCCTCCCAGCTGGAGCACCAGCAGAGCCAATGGTGGTCCCTCGCCAACTGGCCCCGGGGGAGATGGATGAATCCCAAGGCTGCTTTGGAGAGTAGAACAATCCCTGCTTGCTTTTTAATACCAACAATGTTCCCAACACACCTAGGAGCCTCTCGCTCCCTCCCTGCCCATGAGTTCATGATGTTGAATTAATTGCCTAATTCGCCTAATTGACGGTATTGATTGATGGCCCTGTTAAGAGTGGAGTGTTATTGTTGGTACACAAGTAACATTTATTTTATTCTGGCACTGTAATTACAGGCAGTAAATTAAATTAAATATTAAGCATTAACTTGAAATCAATAGGGCAACAAATCTCATTAAGAGAAAAAATGTATTATGCAAATTCTTTCCAGAATTTTATCATCATGAATAATGGCTTCATTACAAGAATGCTATAGCAGAGGAGGCAACAGCGTTTGAAAGAAACATAATACTCTCGCACCTTCTGATTTCAGAGTTGGTGCAAAACAATCTTGACATTTTCGAGCTGAAAAGGATTTGTCTAAGACCCCAGAGGAGCTCCTGACCCACCGCAGCCTGGTCCAGCCCCTGTCCCTGACTCTGTTAAGCCTGTCTGCTGGAGAGGCTCTCCACTGTGCTTGAGATGCTATTTCTATGTTTTATCTCAATTTGCCACGTCCTGAAGAAAAACTAAGACTTACCCACAGCCTTCATAGATGAAGAATTCATCTAAAGGAGGCAATAAAGGTTTGCTTCAGTAGAAAGAACAGTTTGTCAGGGAGACAGAAGTCCACTGTTCCCTCATTCTTCATCCAGGGCTCTTTCCTGGGTGTGTCAGACCTACGTAAGATCTTGCCTGCTCACAATCTGGTGTTTGCATTTTTCATCAAAGTACCTCCAAAGAATGTGCAAAGAACTCCCTGGAAGTCCAGAGCCATTGCTTTACCACAGACAGCTTAGCTGCCACTTCTTCTATTTTTTTTTTTTCCTTTTTCGTTTTTGGAGAGGTTTTCGCTATAGGGCGTGTGCGCTCGCCAGACAGACAGAGACAAAGAGACAGAAAGTGAGAAATCACCCCCCAGGGGGGATGGTCACGCCGCAATCCCTTCTCCTCCATTCTCCTCTCGGGATCTTGGGCACGCATGCACACGCGCCCGGCATGAGACGCGAACCGCGGTCGACTACGTGGGAGTCCAGCGACATAGCCATTACGCTAACTGCTGGTTCCCAGCTGCCACTTCTTGAAAAGAACAAAGCAGAACCCATTAAGAGGTTGCCTACAGACAGGTTTCCTGTTCCTTCCCTGGCATTTTCCTCTTCTTTGCTTTCCTTCATTCCAGAGTGAGGAGCGGGTCTCCTTGTTCCCACGTGAGGTCGGGCAGGCCTGTCCCAGCTCAGTGCACAGCCGGCCAACACCCGCATGCGGCCCTCTGCACACCACAGCCGCTTCGCCGTCCAGCTGCCTGACTAACCCCGCTTGTTTCGCATCTGCTAAGTATTTCCTTCCGGAGCTGAAGATTCCCAGAAGAAAACATTTGGAACCCAGAGGGAATGAAATATAAACTCTTTGTATAATGACGTGGGAGTGAGCAACAGAGGCTGCAAACAGAACGTTCTAACCCAGAACCAAGGAGGCTTGGGAAATGTGACGAGCACCCTTTAAACTGCTGTTTGTGCACTGTCTTTGAAGGCTGGGTTGTAGAATAACAGGGTCAGCCACTTTATTAAAAATTTCTATATAATTGGGACCAGCAGTTAGCATAATGGCTATGTCGCTGGACTCCCACGTAGTTGACTGCAGTTGAAGTCCCGGACTGGGTGGCTTAAACTCATGCCGGGCGCGTGTGTGTATGTGCCCAAGGAGAATAGAGGAGAAGGGATTGCAGCGTGGCCATCCCCTCTGGGGGGGTGATTTCTTGCTTTCTGTCTGTCTGGTGAGCGCACGTGCCCTATAGCAAAAACCTCTCCAAAAAAAGAAAAAAATAAATTTCTATATAATCAAAACCAAACAGGGTCATAGAACACAAAGGGATTTGTTCTTAGATGGAAACTCAATGTCCCAGAATTCTCTCCTAGTTAAAAGGCTACTTTAGACAAATCTTGTGTTTTTTTTGTTTTTAAGAATTATTTTATTAATTTTATTTATCTATTTTAATTTGACCAGAGAGAGGAACAGAGTGAGGGAGAGAGCGAGTGAGAGAGAGAGAAAAAAACTGAGAATGTAAGCTGCCAGGTCCGGACTCAAACCATGGTTGGCTATGTGGGAGTTCAACACTTCAACCACCATGCCACCTGCCAGCCCCTCGACAAACATTATTCACCATTCAAAAGTCAGTCCTCACCTGGTGGTTGAGCCAGAAGCTGGGGATTTCTGGTCGTCCACGATCCCTCAACACGTTGTCCTTCATGCTTTCCACACAGGGGTGCTCCCGCACCTTGGAACCAAATGGCGGTTCATAGTCTTTGACTTCTGTGAAGAAAGAAGGTAGATACAGGGTCACTGAGCATAGTGCGTGAGACTGAGGGAAAGAAGCGTGTCGGGATGCTTGTCTAAGTGTACAAGTGTCAAAAATATTTGATTACTCAAAGAGCAATTTTTAATGATAGTGGATTAAAATAAGAAATATGTACTTTTTTTGGGGAAAAACCAACAACTTATATATTACAATGGTGTGTGACCCTTGAAAGCCTCACAGTACAAAGATTTAATATGTGGTGGCCCATTTCATGGGGCTATTTGGCCACAACGTGGAATGTAATTCTGGCACATACAACAACATGGATGAACTCTAAAGACATTATACTAAGCAAAATAAGCCAGACACAAAAGATGAAATATTGTATGATTCCACTTAAATGAGACAAATTAAACAGGCAAATTCATAGAGACAAAAAACAGAATGGTGTTTGTCCTGGGGCTGGGGTCAGGGGAATGGGGAATAACCCTTAATGGGTGAAGAATTGGAACTGGGGAGATGAAAAGCTATGAAAATGGATGATGGTGATCGTTGTGTAACACCGTGAATGTGCTTAATGCGAGTAAATCAAACATACAACAATGGTCAAGATGCTTAATTTTATATTACATACACTTTACTGAAGGGAAAAAGATCATGGGTCGTAGTGATTAGGAAAAAAAAATTGTCTACAGGGACTCCTTACAATCCCAATGATAAAAAAAAAAATGGTTTAGAAGTACTGTTTAGTGTGACGACAGAGGGGACAGATTAATAAAGTCAATAAACCAAATGGATAAAGATAATTTTCTTTCATTGATACACGCTATAAAGAGGATAACAGAGAACCAGCAGTTAGCATAATGGCTATGTCGCTGGACTCCCATGTAGTCGACCACGGTTCGCGTCCTGGACCCGGTGGCTTAAAACTCACACCGGGCGCGTGTGCGTGCGTGCCCAAGATCCCAGAGGAGGATAGAGGAGAAGGGATAATAAATAAATAAATAAATAAATAAATAAATAAATAAATAAAACAAAGAGGATAACAGAGGATGATGTAACCCATCACTAGGACTTTAGGTTTCAACTAAAGTCAAGTTCTTTCTTTTTTTTTTTGGAGAGGTTTTCGCAATAGGGCGCGTGCGCTCGCCAGACAGACAGAGAGAGACAGAGAGAGACAGAAAGCAAGAAATCATCCCCAGGGGGGATGGTCATGCCACAATCCCTTCTCCTCCATTCTCCTCTCGGATCTTGGGCACGCACGCACAAGCGCCCGGCGTGAGTTTAAGCCATGGTCTGGGACTTGAACCACGGTCAACGACATGGGAGTCCAGTGACATAGCCATTACACTAACTGCTGGTCCCATGGTTTCAAAATAATTTTGTTTAATGAATAAAACTTTCAATACTTTTCTCTTCTAGGCTAAGAATGAACAAAGCTTTCATGGAAAAATAACATTTTGAAAGGGATGGCTTTTTTTCTTTTCTTTTCTTTTTTTTTTTTTTCCTTCTTCTTTTCTGTTTTCCCCTTTCCTAGAACCCTGCTTGCATATTGATCTTCGGCCTCGCCCAAATGGACGAGTTGCCAGAATATCTTCTTCTTCTTCTTCTTTTTTTTTTTTTTTTGTTTTAAACACAGGGAAATTTGGGGTGAAGGTGTCCCATCACATTGAGACAAGCACAACCTATTTTCCTGGGTGTCCATTTTTGCTTTCAATTGTTCAGGCACTCCATTTCTTGCTCTGGGGATGAGATCTGAATTTCTGATTTGCACAGTTTTTATACATCTTATCTCTCCCCTCTTTTCCTTATCTCAGTATATTCCCAAATATGAGGCAAAGGCTGAGTGTTGTGTCTCAGTCCCTGACCAGTGCCCAAAAGTGTGTCTTATTCATAGGGAGGTATTCAATACACATGAGATCGGCTGGATGTGAGGAAAAGCAGAAACTGGGGATCAGAGCCGATTCTGACCTACTTTTTCTAATGAGAAGACGAAATAGAATGACCTCCACATTCCCTTCCAGATTTTCGGGGTTATCCAATCCATTCAAATAATACAACGTCCTCTCAGTGCTCCGCCTTGAGCCATACTGTGAACGGTTATATAATAGCCTAGGCTCTGAATATGACACACATTGGTCCTTACAGAATGTTATTAGCACAGGGACTCTTCATTTCCGATCTTTTTTATAAAAAAAAAATTTATTTTTAATTTAATTTATTTGTTGTTACTCAATTTTGACCAGAGAGTGACAGAACGGGAGAGTAAGAAAGCAGGTCATCAGGTCTGGGACTCAAACTATGGTTGGCCATGTGGGAGTCCAGCATCTTAACCACCACGCCACCCGCCAGCCCTATTTCCCATCATTTTGGCTGTTTATTGCTATCTGCCTAGGTTCCCTTTATCAAGCCAAGTGCACCAGACCCTGGCCACTATAGGTGTGGGTTATCAGGGCTCACCCCTCTACCTCTGTCTACCCTTCCTGGGGGGACTGAACTTGGATGAGGGGAGCTGCCTAGCCTGGAAATCCTGAGACATGACAGCCTCACCCTGGGGAGCAGCTTGTAGCCAATGGCAAATTAACGTGAGTTTAACAGTCCAACTCTCTTGCCTGTTGGTAGGGTGCAATTCACCTTCCAGAACTTGCTGTGAGATTAGACTGAGGCTAGACCTCTCCCAAAACTACAAGTTTGCGTAACTCCTTCTTCTGTCCCTTCCTGCTTCTCTTCCTTCTCCTGAGACCATGGCTTCAATAAAAACTTTGCATCAGGCTGCACTTCTAGAAGTAAAGCTGGCTTACTACAGTGGCCAGGGAAACACGTTCTCCTTTCTCCTGGTTGCGTATCTCACATAACTGTACCATCTGACTGTGGTTGCAGACACCCTAAGGAAGCCTCAGTGTAGCTCCATCTTAGGCTGAAAGTGGGACCAACAGATAGCGTAATGGTTACGTCACTGGACCCCCACATAGCTGACCATGGTTCGAGTCCCAGACCCAGAGCCTAAAACTCACACTGGCCGCATGTGTGTGCATGTCCAAGAACCCAAGAGGAGAATGGAGGAGAGGGGACTGTGGCTCGGCCATGTCCCCTGGGGGGGAGGGGGGTGATTTCTCACTTTCTGTCTCTCTAGTGAGTGCACACACTCTAGAGCAAAAAAATCTCTCTTAAAAAAAAAAAAAGAAAGAAAAGAAGCTGAAAGTATTACCGTAGAAAGAGCATTCAGAACCACATTCTGTATTATCGTTACTCTGAGGAAACTCGTTTGCCTTTTCAGGACGCTTTCGTTCTTTCTCCTTTCCACCCAGTGTTCAGAGTTACTCCTCCCTTAGCCATCAACAATTCCCATACTCATGCTCTGAAATGAGGGGAAAGGGCTTTCCCACAATCAGAGGAGGAAAAGGCTGGAGTTAGAATCCATCTCGGCTGCCAGTCACACAGCTGATAATCCTCGGAAACAAAGAGAAAGTCTCCAAAACCAAGATTATAACCCAGAGCCAATTCATCTCCAGTCCTAACCTTCCAAGTCACATCGACTACAGCAATTATTTTAAAGGCAATCCTCTTCTCCCCGAGCAATGAGATTTATAAATGAGTTACTTCCTACTTTTCCTAAAATCTTGGAGGGTCGTGAGATTGCCCCAGTATTCCCAAGGGACACAAGGCCTGGTTCCCATGTTTGACTGGTGCAAAGTTCCATAGGGGAGACAAATCAAGGCTAGTCTGAGAGATGCTGGCAAAGGGGGCCGGCTCCTCGGGCCAGTGGGAGGATCTAGGAATCTTCTGCCTCCTTCTAACTGTACAATAAAAAAGTCTGAGGGAGAGGGACGAGTCACATGTGGTCCAAACTGGCATACTCCAATCCCTACTGTCAAAGTTGCCTTTCGGATGAGCAGTGGGATAGGGGTTGGAAGTGTATGCATGTTAAGCTGGCCTTCAACTCCTGGAAGATGTCATATTTATAAAATTTACATTTTCAGAAACAAAAAAAATACATGTTTGCTCTTTTCTTATTAGGAATGGTTCCAATTCCCCTTTCTTTGCTGTTTTCCCTCTTTTTTTTTTTTTTTTTTTTTTTGAAGAATTTTGTTTTGGGGGGCGGGCTGCCGCCCA